AGAAAGAAAGAAAGAAAGAAAGAAAGAAAGAAAGAAAGAAAGAAAGACACATATATATTATCAGGAAAGAGCGCAAAGTTGAAATCTTGAGCTCAACTCTTATCAACTTCATGGGCCCATTCATGCAGCCCACTTGGCAACAATATGGAAATGATTTTGCCATTTTCTTTCTCAAGAATGTTTTTCAATTTCAGTCTACAATTTACTGTCAAGGATTTCTTGGAGACTTCCATCCAAGGAGTAACCAGACTTATTCTTGCTCTCATCTTTTTTTTTTTTTTTTTTTTTATCAGCTGAATTTTCTCGTAGAGAAAAAAAGATTTTTTTTTTTGAAATAATTACCATAGTTTAAAATAGAAATATTGCTTGTCTCTGTAGGCTGGCTATAGTGGGGTACTGGCACATGGAGGTTGCCATTTGGTAATTGAGAGGGCCATTTTCCTAGGTTCCACCAGATATATTTCCTTCATAATTGGGAACCTCAACATTCTGCCTTCCTACTCCAGGGGACCAGGTAGACATATGTCCAAGTTCCCAACTCCATATCCTAACTGTAAATTCTACAAGACACAGCTTCAATATACCTAAAAAGTACCAGGTTCATAAAGGCTGGTTGAATATCTGGATAATACTTGGCACTTTCAATTTTATCTGAAATGCTGGCAAACATTTAGTTTAATTCTAGGTATCACACACACAAAAGAAAAGACAGTAGATGTGTTGAAAAACAGCTTTGCACACCCCTTAATCTATAGTAAGAGACATCTGTATCACAGTTCAGGTCTTCTTTTTCTATTCTTTTACATGACTTTAATCAAGGTTTCATATCTCTATATTTTATAAACTCCACCCTATGAAGGTGCTTTCTTTCTATCTGAACTCAAATAATACCGATAGATAGACTTCTATACCTACGTTTTCTGCAAACACTAGTTGTAGGGAGTGGCATAGTTAATGCCTAACAGGGTTATTTAAAAAAAGGAAGAAAAACACCCCTACCTAGCCAACTATTTTGCAATTCTTTGCACTGGGTGTTAGATGTTCTCAAAGAAAAGAAATTTATGACCTTGAGTGCTTCCTCATAAAGATACTGAAAAGTTGACAATTAATTCAATTCTGCAAACTGTCTCACACACCCACACACAACCAGATCCTCCTTTTCCATTAAATTTTGACACCTTTGTAAAAAAATACACAACAAGCAATTGGCATGCATGTTGGCAGTCCTTTTTAATGTTTTGTATAAAACTGCATACCTTTAGAAAGAGAAAAATTGTCTTCATTTTCCTCCCACAAATGTTTCACATAACAAATAAAGACACTATAAAAAAACATTGCCTCTGGAAAAGTTTATGTTAACTAGTTTCCTTCTTTCCTCAGTAGGGCAATGCTTGTGGAGTAAAGGTAGTCTTTGATTTATAACCACAATTGAGCCCAAATTTTCCATTGCTAAGTAAGACCGTTGTTAAATGAGTTTTGCCTCATTTTACGATCTTTCTTGAGATAGTTGTTAAGTGGATCATTGCAGTTGTTAAGTGATTCTGGCTTCCCTGTTGAGTTTGCTTGTC